GCTTAAATATGCTAGGGGTAGGTCTTATGACCCAGAAAGTGGTCTTTCTTGATGAGTGTTCTCTGTGGGCTTGAGAACAATGTGTATTCAGCTGGTGTTGGATATAATAATCTATAAATATTAATCAGATCAAGTGATAGTGCTGTTCAAGTCAACTATATCTTTGTGGGTCTTCTGCCTGCTTGGTCTGTCAATTACTGATAGGAAAGTGTTGAAGTCTCCAACTATAATAGTGGATGTGTCAGTTTCTCCATTCAACTTGGACGTGAGCATGTTTAGCATTAGTAGATCTTCCTAGAGAATTGACCCCATTATCGTTACGTAGTGTTCCTCTTTACTCCTGAAATTTTCCCTTGTTCTGAAGTCTGTTTCTCTAAAATTAATATAGCTCCTCCAACATTCTGTTCATCAATGTCAGCATTATCTGTATCTACATCTATTTTTCTCCATCACTTTGCTCTTAATCTGTGTCTTCATAATTAAAGTGGGTCTCGTGTCTTGTAAACAGTAAATGGTTGGGTTGTGTTTTTCTTATCTATTCTTCCAGTCTCTGTCTTTTAATTGGTGTATTTATGGGTATATTTGGATGAATGTCCACATAGTTATAAAGTTGATAACTGTTTTCTTTGTTTCAGGGTTAGAAAGGTAAATTAAACTGGAATATGATGGGGACCATCATCCCTACCTCATTTATTTCTTTCAAGGTGGCACTAATTTCTGTAATTCTTCCCAGTATGTGGTATTTCTTCTCATATACTGTCATCTGAAATAGGAGGCAAATTTTAGAGGCTTACCTTTGGCCATTTCTACCCTAATGACTTTTACTCAACAGGTCAAGGAAAGAACTTAAGGATATATCCCGTTTTTAAGTATGGTCATCCCAACGTGGTACTCAGGGACGTGACAACCAGTGGTAGTTTCATGTACCCATTGTGCCCACTCGGTGATGGGCTTGGGCTGGGGCTCCACAGTCTCCTGGCTTTTATAAGCTTCCCCTATAAGCTAGGGATTATGGTGGCATTTCAGGTGCCCTGACATCACTAGCAGGCAAGGCTGTGTGTCTAATAGCCTTCAGAAGATTTGGGTATTCTCCTTTCTTAGTATATCTAGAAAAAGACTGTATGTCCCTTTGGGAGAGGAATCGGGAAGTGCTTTCTATATGTACATGCAGTGGCATTGCAGGATCCTTTATCCAGAGGATTAGGTTCCTCTTCAGTCAGTAGCTCTGGGTCTCGGAATTGCCCTAGATCTGGAAAATGAGATTGCAAGTACCCACTGTGCTGAGTAATATCAGCTTGGTACTCACAAGCTTTCAATTTTTATGTGGTTCTATAAGCCCAATAATATTCTGATCTGTTGCCCATCTGTAGCGTTCCTACAATAGTAACACCATATTGCCTCCAGTCCTGGCAGGTCGAGGGACCTTGACTATCGCTCCAGCCTTGATCTGCATTACAATAATTATGTTCACCTTGACCCTTAAGATTAGGTGCCACCAGCCAGCCTCTACTCTTCTGGATTCCTATCATCCCAGTTGATAATAGAGAGCCCAGTTCCATGGGAGAGTCTCTTGCAGTCAACTGTGACATATAGAGGACATTACTACTGATCTTCTCAAGGATCCTGGTGCCCCCTCACCAGTGTCATCTCTTATTGGGCTTCTGATGGGAATGCCCTCTGGGCCTTCCTGGAGAACCTAGTTAGGCAGCAGATTCTGTGGTTCATATATCAATCATTCTAACATTTATACTTTCCTGAGCTGACAATACCTTCCTGAATGCTCTGCAAAGGCATTTTCACCATTTCCGTCTATGGCAGACCAACATCGTATCCAAGCTTCAAGGTGTCATCCCAACAACATCTAAGGACTGACTTCAGGTGTCCTTGTCAGAACAGTAAGCCCCAGTTCAGTAAAGACTCTGCCCCCGTCAATGATTGCTCTCTTATCCTGCCTTAAATTCTTCCCTCCCTGTCTAATGTCTTTGAGCTCCACTCCCATAGATGCCCCCATTCCTGCTGATACATGTTGGCCAAGTACTTTCATTCACTGCATGTTTCCAAGAGGAAACAACATGTTTCCAGGGGAGGAATTACCCCCTGGGGTTGTGCTGTGACTTTTCCTTAGTCATTAGTTTGAAGGAAGTTAGAAACGGTGGTGGAGCCAGATCTTGAGAAGGACAAGCACCATTTTGTAAAGTGCCTGCCTTGGTTGAGGTCTTTTGGAGCCCCCAGTGGCATAGAGGCTGTTCTCCTTTAGCGAGGGGGAGGGGGATGTTTTTCCCAACTGGGAGGGTTAAGAGGTATCAGGGTTGAAGGTTGTTAGGCTCGTGCACCCAGATATCCCCCTCTTAGGTCTCTGATTCTCACTATCGTCATTTAAAGTCCTTGACCTTGACATGAGACCTATTTAGGCTGCTGTTCAGTGTTCTTTGAGCCTACTAGCCCGGACATGATTTTCAGCAGAGTCTGTCCCCTGGGCTACCGAGTATAAGCACTTCTTTAAATCCTGCCACGGAGGCTTTCACAGTTTCCCAGGTGTCTTGAGCTGTCTGGTTAACCTGAGCGCATCTTTTTTTTTTTTTTTTTTTTTAATTTAAATTAAAATTTTTTTTTCTTCAAGACTTCTAAGCCTATGAACAAAGGCCAGCCAACTGCACAGTCTTTATAATTATTTCCTTCTTACTTATCACCAGTAATGGAATCCTTACCTGTGGCTGGCCTATAGGTGACCCAGTTCCAAAATCTCATTCTGAGGGTCTGCTTTCCAGACGTACTTCTATTACCAGTTGTTTTAGCTGGTGTTCTTCAAAAAATGCAGAGCCTGAGAAAAGGACCTACTTGATGGTCATTATTTTGGAAAATGATCCTTCCAGGAGCAGAAGAAGGAAGAACAAAGCAGGAAAGGAAGAAAAGATGACCTAAGAGCGCCTCACTGAGTTGATCCACTGTGAGGAATTAGAGGTGAGCCCTGCTAGGGAAGGATGTATGTAAGAACTGGCTGCTTGAAAGGGAAGGAAGGGAATATTTATCGTTGCCCCCTGTTCTTGTATGAGGGTGTTTAAGTCTCTTGCATTTCCAGGTTTTAGAAAAATTATTTTGTCCTTTTGCATTCTTCAAAAGCGATCAGTAAGGGTTTTTTAAAAATTATCATGATAAACTTATGGATTTTAACATACTTTGTATATTTCACTCTCTTGCAATCATGATTCCTAATGGTAACGTTCCATCTTTGGCTATTGGGAGCTCCTTCAAATTGTTGCAGTTAAAAACATTTTTTTTTAAATGTTTATTCATAGAGAGATATAGTGCAAGTGGTGAGGGGGCAGAAAGAGAGGGAGACACAGAATCCAAAGCAGGCTTTGTCAGCACAGAGCCTGATGCGGGACTCAAACCTACAAACCTTAAGATCATGACTTGAGCCAAAGTTGGACATTCAACCGACTGAGCCACCCAAGTGTCCCCAAACTGTTGCAGTTTTGACCATTGAGAGCTCCTTCAGATTGGTTCTTGTGACCTCTCAACATGACCCCAGTGGACTTTAATAGTTTCCTTGTTTCCAGCATGACTAGATATTCCAGGCTCATTCCTGCTCCCAAAAGAAACTCCTCTATTTTTCCAAGAGTCCCAGTTGCTTTTCATGAGAAGTAGTGTTCAGTCTGGGCACTAGGGGTCCTCATTGGGTTGACCGTCACTTCTGCTGCCCTTTCCTTGGGCAGAACTAGAAGTATGTATTCTTGTATGAAAAAGAAAAATACCTCATGAGGATTAATTCTCATACTTCCCATTCAAACAAAACATTACAGTTTTTCTTTATCTAATTCATTTTTTTAATATTTGTATCTCTTTACTCTTGCTCATTAACGTAATTACCTAACTTGCTTTAGCTTATTCTTTGTGTACATATGATAGTTTCAAGCATCATTTGCAAATTACATATTGGCTTCATCCTATTATATACATGCGCATAATAGTTTAGTACTATTTTATTAGCAATATGACCCCTGAATACAACTTAAGATTTCACTGAAATTTTATTTTCCCTTTAGAATACATCCCACTGGGAAAATACAGTCAAATTGCTATATTTTGAAGTTACTGAATTAAATCTTCTCTGTATAGTTATGCCATCAACTTGATATACTTGATATCTTGTTTTCAATTTTGGGGGATTGATGTTTTCCCATCTTGATTTAATTTTGTTTTATAATTATGTAAACCACTTACATGATTTCTAAGTTAAAAGCTTTACCCAAAGTATGTTGAGAGAAGTTTGGCCTCTGGCCCTGTTCCCTTTAACTTGCTTCCTGTTTCCTCCTAAGACTAACCATTTTCCATTACATTTTAATTTATTCTTCCACCTTTGAAAATATATGCATTTTCACATTTCCTCACTTTTTAAAAAAGTTTATTTATTTTGAGAGAGGGAGAGAGAAATGGAGCAGGGAAGGTACACAGAGAGAGAGGGAGAGAGAGAGAATTCCAAGAAGGTTCTGCACTGTTAGCACAGAGCCCAGCATGGGGCTTGAACTCATGACTGGTGAGATCAAGACCTGAGCCGAAATCAAGAGTCAGATGCTTAACTGTCTGAGCCACCCAGGAGCCCCAATATATTTCCTCACTATTTAAAATTGTTTTAAAAATATTTATTTTTGAGAGAGACAGACAGACAGAGCACAAGCAGGGGAGGGACAGAGAGAAAGAGAGACGCAGAATCTGAAACAGGCTCCAGGCTCTGAGCTGTTAGCACAGAGCCCAATGCGGGCCTCAAGCCCACGAACTGTGAGATCATGACCTGAGCCGAAGTTGGATGCTCAGCTGACTGAGCCACCCAGGCGCCCCAATTCCTCACTTTTAAGGTAAAATGTAGAATAGTATACATTTTATGTTGCACCTTGTTTTTCTCACTGAACTAAAATAAACATCATGGAATTCACTCCATAGTGGTACGTAGAAATCTTATTCCTTTCTACAGCTGCATTGTTCTCCACTGTGTGAATTTATCCAGATAACATAGACTTGGAATCAGTAACTTGAAACGTAGAGTTATCACTTGCTCCAATGGGGAAGGCTGCAAAAAGAACAGGGTTTAAGGGGACTATCAGGGGTGTGATTGAAGACATTTTGTTGGAGATGCCTATTCACATCCAGGGAGAGTTAGAGTAGACACTTGTCTGTCCGAGCCTGGAGTTCAAGGGCAAGGTCCAGCCTGGACGTGTAACTTGTAAGTGAATGGCCAGGGAGGATGGTGAAGGATCGGAAGAGTAGATGCTTCAAGCTGGTCGGTTCTCCCCTGTCTTCATTAACTCGTAACTCTAGCTGAGATTGTAGTTGCCTGATTTTATTGTCTTGGTCTTCATTTCCCTGATATCCCTGGTGAACGGGAAGACTGTCATTGCCTCAAAGCAGAGTAAGGAAGAGGCAAGAGGAAATGTGAACTTGTTTTCACTAATCTGTTTCTCCCTGCCAGTCATCTGCCCCAGGCTGTGGCCTACGCGTGCCCAACCCGCTTCAGGTGCGCCACTGCTACCTCCTGAGCTCTGCTGACTATCCATGTCATTCGTTCCTGGAATTTATATCCCCTCTGAGCTTTTCCTCATTTGATTCTAGGGAAGGGAGCCAGCAATCTGTGCCAGGTTTCCGTCTTTGCAGGAAGCAAAAATTCTATTTGATTTCTAAAATTAAACAAGGGGAAGGGACATTTATTTTTTTAAAAGAGAGAAAATATGGGGAAACTCTGGTTTATCATCTCTTCCAAATATCCTATGAAAACATCCCAGAGAAATTGAACCTGATTAGAGTTAAGTTGAGGAAAACAGGCATTCAGCAAAGCTGGGAGCTGCGTGCTGGGTGAGAAAATAAAACATTGACTACCACTAGGAAAAAGAAAGCATTCTTTGTGAAGAATTCTTGTAATATAAAAACTCTGAAGTTCTATGGTGGGAAAACATGTCTAATGCTTCCTTAAGAGATATTTTCCTAGTCATCGATATGCCAGAGGAGAGATACCAAAGTTCATCACAGACTATTTCATAGGAAAATTGGAATCAATGTTAAACACAGTCACCATCAGACTATACAATTAAACTATCTGGCATAATTTGAGGTTAGTAAAATTTAAATAGATACTAGAAAAGCATTATGATAGAAATTAATATCTACATTTTATATGACTTGATTGATGTTATGTTTTTAGTATATTTTCTTTTTTCTATTTGTGTTCTGGTGGCCCCTTTAAATTATTTTATAGGGAATATATGCTTATTATCCACGAATGCAACTGAATATAGAGTCAGAAGCGAAAGCTCTTCTGTAACAGTACTCACCCTTCGTGATGCAACACAATGTTCCTCCCAGAGATAACCTCTTTTGACAGTTTTAGGTTTCTCTTTTCTATCTTAGTTCGTTCGGGCTGCTATAAGCAAAATAGCATAGACTGAGTGGCTTATAAAGATCAAAGCTTTATTTCTCACAGTTCTGGAGGCTGAGAAGTCTAAGATCAAGGTGCCATCATATTTGGTATCTGATGAGAACCTGCTTCCTGGCTCATTGGTGGATGTCTACTTGCTGTATCTTCATGTGGCAAAGGGGCGAAGGAGCTTTATGGCGTCTTCTTTATTAGAGCACTGATTCCATTCATAGGGTCTGCCCTCTTTATATAATCACCTCCTGAAGGTCTCGTTTCCAAATGCCATCACACTGGGGATGAGGTTTCAATATATGAATTTCGAGAGGACACAAACATTCAGTGCATTGCATCTTTATTTATTTATTTATTTTTACCTTTTATTTATTTCTAGGAGAGAGAGAGAGAGAGACAGCGTGAGCAGGGGAGGGTCAGAGAGAGAGGGAGTCACAGACTGAAACAGGCTCCAGGCTCCAAGCTGTCAGCACAGAGCCTGATGCAGGGCTCAAACTCACAAACTGCAAGATCATGACCTGAGCTAAAGTTGGACACTTAACCAACTGAGCCACCCAGGAGCCCCATAATTGCATTCTTTTATATACATTAAACATTTTTACATGTACTCACATATACACACACACAGGATCATTGTATGTATGTTTCTGAAACTTATGATGGATATGTTCCTGTATTACTACGTTTAGATCTACGTCATTATTTTTTTATTCTGTATCATTATTTTTTTATTCTGTACACATATTAACAAATTATGTTTTTTAGACATCCATTTTTTAATTCAAACAGCTCAGTAGAATAATGGGCAAAAGATAGAATTGACAATTCTCAGAAAAAGAAGCACCTAAAAGAAGAAACATATGACAATATTCTCAACCTCAGTAGTAATTAGGGAATTACTACATATATCCTTTAGATTAGCAAAAACATGAAGAAGTCCTGGCAATTCCCTGTGTTGACAAGGATGTATGTACATCAACAGACTCTCTAATACACTGTTGGTGGGAATGATACTAGCACAACAACCTTCAAAAGCAAGTTGCTGTATATATATGTATATATATGTGTACATATATGTATATATATTTACATTTTCAAAGTTTTAAATTAAAAATTTTTATTTTTGGTACAGTTGTTCTTTGCACACCCTTCAACAAAGCAATTCCACCCTTAGGTATCTATTCCAGGAAAACTTTCCCTCAAATAACAAGAATGCTTACAACTGCACTCTTATATATGGAAAATACAGAAACAACCAACATACATTAACAGGAGAATAGCAAAATAAATTATGATATATTCACCCAATGGACAATAGAGAAAGTAGTGAAATATAGCTACATGCAATAACATGGATGAATCCTTGAAGTGTTTTGTCAAAGGGAAAAACAAATCCAGAAGATGATATATATGATACCATTTTCATGAAGTCAGAAACAAACAAAATTAAATAGCTATTGTTTAGGCATATATCCACGTGTATTAAAACATTTTCATAAAGTAAGTGAATTGAAAGGCAATCTTTAGTATCTTGGTTATCACTCATGGGAAGCAGAGAAATCGAATAGAGAGGAAGCATATGGCTACAAACTATTGGGAGTGTTTTAGTTCTTGGATTGGGTATCAAGTTCACAGATGACCACTAAATAATTACAATTGTAGCATATATTCCTTTGTGTCAAAAGTTTTGAACTGATGTGTAGTTGACATAGTGGATTATAACTTAGTTGCAAGTGTACAACATGATGATTCGACATTTATTCATCTTAGGAAGTGCTCACCATGATAAATCTAGCTACCATCTGTCACCACAAAATTGTTACATACTATAAACTATATTTCCTATGTGTACATTGTGTCACTGTGTCTTACCTATTTTATAACCGGAAGTGTGTACCTTTTAATCCTCTTCCCCCATTTTGTGCACCCTTCCCCCATATGTAATGAAATGATACCTGAAAAGATAAAATTAAATGAACCATACCCTTCTTTTATTCTTTTAAAATGAAAACATTATATGTATATAATCTGAATAAGTGGTATCTGGCTCTTTGTCCCAGATGTATCTATTTTCTAATTTGCTAGTTTGTATTTTTTGCTCATTCACTAAAAGAGAGAACAAATCGGCAGATCTATAAGGCTGAGGTGTAGAAAGCAATACATTTGTAAAAGAAGCAAATGGTCTCTTGCATCCTTGATCTTTAAGACGGGGAAGTGGTGAAAAATATATTCAACAATTTCTCAGATGAGAGAACAGCACTGTGGGACTAAAATTAAGGCTAAAGAAAGAATTTGTAAGGGATTATATGGGATAGTTAGAAAAACATGTAAAAATCCTTTCTCTAAGGTGCTTTCTTTTAAGGTTGGCCTAATAAAGAAGAAAAGAGCTTCATTCTCAGAAATGAGGACAAAAACTCGTTCTTTAAGGTGAGTATAGAAAGGGAAACAGAGAGTTCTGTGATGGCCTGGGATAGATCCAAGTAGCTCTAGGTACATTCCTTTCTCTGAAAAAAGCCATTCTTGATCATCAAGCTTCGACCAGTGGAAATGGGCATTTTCAGCTTTTAGATACGCATTTAAGGTCCGTAAGGATTTAGCCTATGCATTGAGAAAACATTTCTGAGAGGAAGGAGGAATTAACTCCATAAAAAAGCCTTCTCCCTAAGGAATGTGAGGCTTGATTGCTGAAAGAGAAATTAACATCAAAGGAAACTTCTTGTATGGGGAGACAAGACTTCATATACCTAAGGCAAATGGGAGGGGGAGAGAGAAAAATATTTTTGATAGAAAAGGAGAAATAACGTCAAGCTAAATTTCTAGAGAACACCGCCTTATATTTCAGGCATATTAAGATTTGCCATATAGGGGCACCTGGGTGGCTCAGTCTGTTGAGCGTCCGACTTCCGCTCAGGTCATGATCTCACAGGTTATAGGTTCGAGCCCCGCATCGGGCTCTGTGCTGACAGCTCAGAGCCTGCTTCAGATTCTGTGTCTCCCTCTCTCTCTGCCCCTCCCCCACTCATGCTGTGTTTCTCTCTGTCTCAATAATAAATAAACATTAAAAAAAAAAAAAGAATTGCCATATGGCATGGGGATTAAGCCTTGTTCCCTATGGCTTTGGAAGGAAGCATTACTATTGCTCGATGGCGGTCACGAGTGGCAGTTGCAAAGTTACTCAACAGCGGGTACCTCTGCCCATCACGGGCTCTCAGGGGCTCATAATACCCGAGCAGAAAGGAAACGACTGGACAGTACAGAAGTAATTCTAACTTGGTGGGGATTAGATTTGCAACATCTGAAAGCCCTTCCAGCACTGAGGTCCAGTGTTATTCAAAAGAACAACCCCAAACCCTCAAATCCCCTTCAGCCCAGCTGGCACTGGACACGGCAGAGAGTGAGGTAGGGTGGGCTCTCTGTGGTGGGGAGACTGTTGGTGGATGGGAGGTGACCTGGGAAATATTCTAGCAGGGCCTCATCAATATAAACAGTTTGACTGAAAAAGTATTGGGAAATTCATGGGCATGTAGGTGGGGGTGTGGTTGCAGAGCTCAGCTAACAAGAGAGACAGCAATGCATTGCACCCACTGGGTCCCAAGCACTAGAGGAGACTTAGACCATTTCAAGGAAGGCTCTTCAAACTGGGGGTGCCCCGAGCTGGAAGGCCCAGAACAGGAACCCTGATTGCCCTGGTATGAAGGCTGTACTTGCTGCCCTTTCATCTGAAATTCTCATTCGGTTTACTTAGAAGGCATGGCATTAAATTTGGTAGATGAATGCTCTTGGAGTCAAATACATTGAGTGAAGATTAAGGAAACCTTTTTGTTTATTCCATTTTGACCTAGATTTTTGCCAAATTTGCTCCTCCATTTCCTCATCTAAAAATGTTTAAAATTTTTATTATTTTTAAATGTTTTTATTTATTTTTGAGACAGAGAGAGACAGAGTGTGAGCAGGGGAGGGGCAGAGAGAGAGAAAGACACAGAATCTGAAGCAGGCTCCAGGCTCTGAGCTGTCCACACAGAGCCCGATGTGGGGCTTAAACCCACGAACTGTGAGATCATGACCTGAGCTGAAGTCAGACACTTAACCAACCAACTGAGACACCCAGGCGCCTCCCACCTCCATTTCTTCATTTAAATTAAAACTGAAGCACATGTAGTTTACCATATACCAGGGTCTGGAGGAGATGATATATTATCAATGAGATTAATATTTTAAAACCCACATAACGATGTAATGGAAGACAGATCGAAAATTAAATTGTTATTTCACTTGGAAGGAATTATATCATGTAAAGCCAAAGGATAATAAATTCTCCAGTGTTTAATACTTCTAACCCAGTTTCAAGGTGAAAGAGAGATGTGCACAGATTTTCTCAGTAAGAGAATTCAATCATAAATATTTAAGGCTGAGAAGAAAAGGAAATTTGTACTTTTAAGAATGGGTTGACATTATGTGAAATGCTCATTGTCAGAAATCTGCCTGACCTAAAGACTCTATTACTGAACGAGAAGGAGAATGTTTTATGTAAATAAATAAACATAAGGGCTTTTCACAGACATGAGAAAGTAGCTTTGTGTACAGTCTGCTGAATAAAAGAATAAAATCTCAGCCCCCGGGGGAGAGGTTAGAATGAAAATATTGTTGATGATAATAAGAAAATAGCTTCATGTAAATCTCTCTAAGAATTTTACTTAATCGTTTGTAAAGCAATGACAAGGCAAACAACAGCAACAAAAAATCCAGGCTCTTTAACTCCAAAGTAAAGGATAGAATGAAGAAAAAATAAGTTTAATTTCATGCAAGAGTAGTCCCATGCACTATTATCTCTCTAATAAGTCCTAATTGGTTTTATTTTTAGGCTCTTCCAAAATTGGGGCAAGTGCCCTATCTCAGCTAGACTGTACTTTGATGCTTTTGATCTTGAGAGAGAAATTTCAGACATCAAGAGGATTACCCACCACCCAGATGACCTTTCTGGCTGTTGTCGTCTGCCTCAGGGGGCCTTAAGGCTCCCAGTGGCCCTTGGCCCAGATTCCCTGTGTCTTTGCCTGTCAGGATGTGGAAGAGAGAGGGCAATTGAACATCCTACAGACATGACTTGGTGACTTTTTTCACGAGTAGGACTGTTTTTCACTCCATATATTACTTTGCTCAGAGCAGGTACTGTGGGATCGTGGAGATAACCCATCATTTCCTCTATTTCCTTTGGGTCACCAAGGGGCATGTTTATTCCTGTCCTCTTAGAACTATGAAAAGATACAAGCATGGTGTCTCCATGAGGAGGGGCTTTTAATGGTGAAGGTATAAAAAAAGAAATCTACCTTCTTTTCCTTTGTGTCTGATGTACAGTCTGGCTTCTGGGAAGAGGCTTACGAATCTTGTGGTACCTTGTTTAAGAACAACAATTAGGAATGGTGTGTTAATCCCCTCTGCTCCCCATTAGAAGAAGGAATCACTCCACGGCTGGATCAGGGTCTGGCTCCATGTCAAGGTATCTATAGCTCCTGTAATAGGTGTTAAAAGCTGGGCTAGAGAAGAAAGTAGCCTGGGAGAGAAGCTTTCTAAGATAGGGCAAGAAGAAGAGGGAATAATACCAGTCGGAAAACCTAGTATGAGAGAACAGACACCCCTCAGGCAGAGGTACACAAACAGAATATTTATGACTGTTGAAGTTTTGGGGGACAGTAAATTAATCCCCACCTTCCCTGCATAGCTCTGACTCAACTGAGGATCGATCAAAGGGATGGGAAGATGGAGACAAAAATATCAGCTTCACTATTAAAAGAAAGCTATGCTGAATAACATGGCTTAGATCTAGGGCCAAAAGGGGCCTGCAGACTCTTTCTTTGAATTAGAGAGACCTACCCCAGAGGACAACTGCAGAGAATAGACCAAAATAAATGCCCTGAAAGTAGGCGGATCGCTCCTAGCCCACTCTTCCTTGGTCTCTCTGCCGCATATCAAATGAGTGATTATACCCCCACTGCCAAATACCTTTTCTCTCGGCTTCCGGGACACCAAATTCTCCAGGTTGTTCTGTGATCTCACTGGCGACTCCGGCTGGCTTCCTCTGCTGGTTCTCGCCCTTCTCCAAGAACCAGGAATGTTGAAATGCCGCAGGGATCACTCTACTACCTCTCTCCTTCCTTGCTCTCCTCTACCACACTTACTCTTTGAGCCGATCTCCTTCGGATAAGGGCTCTATGCTAACAACCCCCCAGTTCACATCTCCACCTAGTACTTCTTCCCATCTCCATGTTTTTTTTTTAATTTACAAAAAAAATTTTTTTAATGTTTTATTATTTCTGAGAGAGGGAGAGGGACAGCATGAGCAGGGGAGGGTCAGAGAGAGAGAGGGGGATACAGAATCCGAAACAGGCTCCAGGCTCTGAGCTGGCTGTTAGCACAGAGCCCGACGCCGGACTCGAACCCACAAACTGCGAGATCATGACCCGAGCCGAAGTCGGACGCTTAACTGACTGAGCCACCCAGGCACCCCTCCATCTCCATGTTTTGATATCCATCTGCCTAATTGCCATTTCTACTTGCATGTCCAGTTGGATGTCCAATTTGGCACACCCCAAGCCAAACCTTGATCTCCTCTTTCCATCCTGGTCCTCTCTGTCTCCCTTTCAATGTTTTTTCCAGTTGCTCAGGCCAAAAGCCTCAAAGCCTCCTTAATTCTTTCTTCCACAACTCACATTCAACTCATCAGCAAATCCTGTGGGCCCTGTCTTCAAAATAAATTAAGAGTCTTACCACTTCTTGCTCTCTCCTCTGCCATCATTCTTGTCTAAGCCATCATCAGTTCTCACTGGGATTATTGCAGTAGGCAAACGTATTCATCACCCCTAGCATCCCCAGAGTCTGTTCTCAGAACGGCAAAGTGATCCAAAGGAATCCTTTTGAAATTAAGTTCAGTCAACACTTTTGCACCCCCAAACTTTCAAAGTCCTACTTAACATAGACTATATGCCAAAAAGTCTTTACTTGAGTCTACTATAACCTGGATAACCTGCTTCTGCTCTGGCCATATCTGATCTCATATCTTACTGATCTTTCCTTAGAACAATCCTTTCCAGCCACATTTTTGCTCGTCCTTAAATAGGCCAGGCTTCTACCTCCAAGACTTTTCATTTGGTATTCATGCTGCTTCCATAAATCTTTGTTCAAATGTCACCTTCTCACCGAGATTGTCTCTAACCATCCCCTTTAAAATTGGGCACTCTGCCCCCCTCACTGCCTGCAACTTCCATCCTTTATTTCCCCTTCCTTATTCTTTCTTTTCTACATAACATATATCACCATCTGACATAGATGTATTTTATTTATCTACCTTTCTCCCTCCCCAGCTCCTCTGCTCCCACAAACACATACACCAGAGGGCAAGGAGTGTTGACTCTTTTGTTTGATCTCATATTCCCAGCATCCAGAATAGGGCCTGGAAAGGAGTGGTCACTCAAATATTGGTTGAATGAATAATTTTTAAAATGAATGTATGTATGAGTCCCAAAGAGGAAACGGCTCTGCTAAGCATGCCTTCTTTCCTTCTTCTGAACTCACCAATCAGAAAACTCACTTCTTCCATGATGCTCTAGCAGAAATCTGTCTGTAAGGAAATCTGAGCATCAGGGAATAAGTGTCCCCCCAGAAAGTGATGGAGAAAAATATAACAATCAATTAGAAAACATCTCCTCAGGGGCGCCTGGGTGGCTCAGTCGGTTAAGCGTTCGACTTGAGCTCAGGTCATGATCTCATGGTTTGTGGGTTCAAGCCCCGTGTCGGGCTCTGTGCTGACAGCTAGCCCAGAGCCTGGAACCTGCTTCAAGATTCTGTGTGTCCCTCTCGCTCTGACCCTCCCCTGCTCACGCTGTCTCTCTCTCTCTCAGAAATAAAACACTTAAAAAATTAAAAAAAAAAAAAAGAAAAGAAAACATCTCCTCAAATAAGACCAGCATTAGTATTTAAGACTAGGGAAGTAGTGAAAAGATTGTTTTTATGCAAAACCTTCCAGGTGAAGAACAAAACTCAAGTTTGTAAGATTCACCCAGAGAAAGAAATAAAATGAGACGATCTGTGTTAGGAAGGAAGACATAACTTTATGCAAAAATCTCATCTCTAAGCAACCCATCTTTGGTCTTTAAGGCTGGAGTAAGGAAATAAAAAGTCATTGCTCAGAAGAAAGAATAAAATTCCCGGGTCTGGAAGATTAAGATATCAAAGAATAATATTTATGATAAGAAAGAAGAAACATAAATGAATGTGATTTTATGAATTGGGTAAGTAAAAAACAGCTTTATAGAGAGTTTTGGGAAAATTTTCTCAGAGACTTTAGTTCTTTAAAAATGAATTATATTTTAAAATATATTTTTAAAGTTTATTTATTTGTTTATTGAGAGAGAGAGAGAGAGAGAGAATGCCATGCAGGTTCCACACTGTCAGTGCAGAGCCCAGCGTGGGGCTTGATCTCATAAACTGTGAGATCATGACCTGAGCTGAAACCAAGCGCCAGACGCTTAACCATCTGAGACGCTCAGGTGCCCCAAGGATGAACTCTTGAAAAGAAAAGAAAACAAAATAAAATAAAATAAAATAAAATAAAATAAAATAAAATAAAATAAAATAAAAGGAATGAAAATATTTGTGGTGAAAAAGGTAGCGTGGATGTATTTGTCTCCCAGCCTTTGGATGGTTTGTGGTTACATACATCCTGTCAACTCTGCCATTGTGATCAGTCTTCTTGAAACCTCAGAGAACATTCTAGAGACAAATGAAGCATCGTATCAAGTCCTGTGTTATATTAAATTCCAGGCTGACCAGACAAGCTCGCTGCCAAACCAAGAAAGCCAGGTAGAAGTAAACAGTAATCAGATTTTATTCGATTATCTTAGAGGCAAGATCCTAATGAAAGCTATTTAAGAAATAAGTTTTTGATCATAAGGTTATAATGAAAAATATTTAAGGGATAATTTTTAGGATAAAGATTTCAGAAATAATTTTTAGGTTTAATATAATTCAGTAAATTATAACAATGTGCTTGAAATAAGGAAAGCTGAAAGTGTTAATTGTATAGGAATGAAAATAATGGATAGTATTTTTTTAAAATTCTCTTAAATGTTTGTTTGTTTGTTTGTTTATTGAGAAAGAGAGGGAGACAGAGAATCCTAAGCAGACTCCAGGCTCTGAGCTGTCAGCACGGAGCCTGATGCAGGACTTGAACTTGTGAACTGCGAGATCATGTCCTGAGCTAAGTTGGACACTTAATGGACTAAGCCACCCAGGTGGCTCTATTTTTTTTTTAGAGAGTGGGTATGTGCTTGCAAGTGAGGGAGGGGCAAAGAGAGAGGGAGAGAGAGAGAGACTCTTAAGCAGGCTCCATGCTTAGCTTGGAGCCCAGTGCAGGGCTTGATCCTACAACCCTGGGATCATGACCTGAGCCAAAATCAAGAGCCTGACACTCAAGTGACTGAGCCACCCAGATGCTCCTGGATAGCATTTAAGATAATTGTGTGTTAGAAAAAATATAGTTTTATATGGTATATTTCATATGGCAGCCATTTATATTCTCCTCATGGCAAGTCAATATAGAGGGAAAGAGTTTTATTTCTGTACATTGCCTGTTGGGCTGTCTCCTAAGGCAATGGTTCCACACAGCCCAGTGGCATCACTCGGGGCGTGAGAGAGCCAGGGAGCCTACGTCTGTGTGTTGTTTGGTCCAGGACTCCTGTGGACGCAAGCTGCCTGTGGCTACAGAGAGGCTGGCTGCTGATGGCAGGTAGGCATGCATCAGCCTGGGTGTGGGTAACTGTCCCATCTACAGTCAGCCTCCCAGGAGAAAACATATGAGTTCTGTGAGCTCTAATCGTTTGCAGAATATGAGGAAATTGGATAACCCCCATATTTTCTTTTGCTCCAGAACAGGAAAGCAGGTGAGAAATCAGAATCTGTACATATACCGCCTGAATGACAAAGCATGAGAAACCTCCTCGACCATGATGTCTTTCTTATAACGGCTCCCTCTGTGTCTCTTCTTGTCTTCCTTCAATTTATTCTCCACATAGCAGCCAACTAGATCAGATCACTTTTTGATTAAAGTTTTTCACATCACAGCCTTCCAGGCATCTGTGTGATCGGTCTGGCTCCCATCACTTCTCATTCTCACCACGAGCTCTTTGTGGAGGAAACACTGGGTTCCTTCATACAACCAAACTCCTGTCTGACTCGGGCCTTTGCATGCACCATTCTTCGGCCTTTACTCAGCCAACCTTTACCTGCCCTTCAGGTCTCAGTTTCCCAGAAAGCCATTTCCTGCCCCCCGACGTCCCCACCCAGTCCCTACCTATTGGATGTTCACTCTGTAATCCTCTCTCATGGTACGAGGTTCTTTTCTTTCATGGTGTTCAGTGCCATTTGTAATGATACATGTTTTATTACTTGCTTGACGTCCATCCCTCCCTGTAGATTGCAAGGCCTTGCTGCTTCTGTTCAGTATGTTATTTATTTATTTTTAAAAGTTTATTTATTTTGAGACTGGGGTGGGGAGTGAGCAGAGAGAGAGAGAGAGAGAGAGGGAATCCTAAGCAGACTCCATGCTGTCAGCTGCAGAGCCCAATTTGGGGCTCACACTCACACACCAGGAGATCATGACCTGAGCTGAGATCAAGAGTTGGAGGCTTAACTGACTGAGCCACTCAGGTGCCCTATGTTCACTGTTTTTTTGTTTTTTTTTTTAATGTTTTATTTATTTCTGAGAGAGAGAGACACAGCATGAGTAAGGGAGGGTCAGAGAGAGAGGGAGACACAGAATTCAAAGGCAGGCTCTAGGCTCTGAGCTGTCAGCACAGAGCCCGATGCGGGGCTTGAACCCACAAACCATGAGATCATGACCTGAGCCGAGTCGGATGCTCAACTGACTGAGCCACCCAGGCGCCCGTGTTCACTGTTTTACATTCAGTGAGTTCACTATGAGTTCTTTCAGTGCTGCTGAAAGAATCGACCAGGAGTGGCCCCCTTGAGAAGGATATAGCCTGTGGACTCCAGGAGCCCGGCACTTGATATAAGGGTCAACACTTCTTATTCTGTAT